TTTATTTAAAAAACTTGGTGTGGGGGGACTTCAATCAACCACAATAGCCTTACAACTTGCGGATAGATCAATTCGCTACCCTATTGGAGTTATAGAGGATGTGCTTGTTAAGGTTGGAAAATTCTACTTTCCTGTGGACTTTCTTATTTTGGAGATGGAGGAAATGGAGATCCCTATCATTCTTGGAAGGGCATTTTTAGCCACCGCAGCTGCCCTTATTGATGTCAAGAACGGAATTGTCAAATTCCGTGTTGGAGATGAAGAGCAAGAGTTCCATGTTTGGGATTCTTTGAAGAAGCACCATGATGATCCCTCTTGTTTTAACATTGACATTCTTGACACTTTGGCTAAAGAGTGTTTTGGGGAAATCATTCATGAAGACCCTTTGGAGACTTGCATCATGCTAGGATGCAATGAAAAAGAAGAAAGCCATGAACTTCTTGAGGAAGTTATGTACTTACAAGCCGGAGCTCCTTTCAAACAATTCCGACAAAAGTTTGAAGATCTTGGAACAAGTAAGTCCACATTAAAACCATCTCTTGAGGTCCCACCAAAACCATCTTTGAAAACTTTACCTGAGCACCTCAAATATGCATTTCTTGGAGACAACTCAACTTTCCCGGTAGTAATTTCTTCTTCACTCACATCTCTTCAAGAAGAAAAATTACTACGGGTATTGAAGGATCACAAAACATCGATTGCATGGTCCTTAGCGGATATTAAGGGTATTAGCCCTTCTCTTTGTATGCACCGGATTTTTATGGAGGAGAATCACAAACTTACGGTGGAGCATCAAAGGAGGCTAAACCCCAACATGAAAGAGGTAGTTAAGGAGGAAGTTCTCAAACTCCTTGACTATGGCATAATTTACCCCATTTCGGATAGTAAATTTGTAAGCCCCGTTCAAGTCGTTCCAAAAAAGGGTGGAATCACGGTGGTAGCCAATAGTAAGAATGAATTAATTCCTACTAGAATGGTCACCGGTTGGAGGATGTGCATAGACTACCGAAAATTGAACTCCGGCACAAGGAAGGACCACTTTCCCCTTCCATTCATGGATGAGATGTTGGAGCGTGTTGCGGGAAATGAGTTCTTTTGTTTCTTGGATGGATTCTCTGGCTATTTTCAAATAGCTATCTCTCCCGAGGACCAAGAAAAGACAACATTCACGTGTCCTTTTGGCACATTTGCCTATAGAAGGATGCCATTCGGGTTATGCAATGCCCCCGGGACATTCCAAAGATGTGTGATGGCAATTTTTGCGGACATGGTGGGAGACTTCATGGAGGTATTCATGGATGACTTTTCTGTTTTCGGAAATTCTTTTGACTCATGCTTACTTTCCCTTGAGAAAGTGTTAACTCGGTGTGAAGAAACCGATTTGGCTCTCAATTGGGAAAAATGCCATTTCATGGTAACCGAAGGAATTGTCTTGGGGCACAAAATTTCCTCCAAAGGCATTGAAGTCGACCAAGCAAAAATTGAAGTCATAAAGAAGCTACCCCCTCCACACTCGGTGAAAGCTATCCGAAGTTTTCTAGGGCATGCCGGTTTCTATCGGCGATTCATTAAAGATTTCTCAAAAATCGCTAAACCTCTATGCGATTTATTAGCCAAGGATGCCCCTTTTGAAATCACTCCAACTCGGCTCAAAGCTTTCAACACTTTAAAGGAAGCTCTCACCACGGCCCCTATTATTACATCACCGGATTGGTCTCTTCCATTCGAATTGATGTGTGATGCTAGCGATCATGCTATCGGTGTGGTACTTGGGCAAAGAAAAGAAAAGAAACTTCATGCCATATACTATGCATCGAGGTTACTTCATGATGCGGAGCTCAATTATGCCACCACCGAGAAGGAATTTCTAGCCGTCATTTATGCTTTTGACAAATTCCGATCTTACCTCATTGGCCAAAAAGTGATTGTTTATACCGATCACTCCGCCATCAAATATCTCATGAACAAGAAGGATGCCAAACCAAGGTTAATTCGTTGGGTTTTATTACTCCAAGAATTTGACCTTGAAATCCGAGACAAGAAGGGGAGTGAAAACCTTGTGGCGGATCATCTTTCACGACTTGAAGGCACCCCCGACCCCAAGGAAGAAGAGATAAGAGATGATTTCCCATATGAGAAAATCATGGCAATCAAAGAGGTACAACTACCATGGTTCACTGATTTTGTTAATTTTCTTGCAAAAGAAATTACACCTCCATCACTCATTTTCCATCAAAGAAAAAAATTTCTAAGTGATGTAAAGCATTACTATTGGGATGAACCATATCTCTTCAAACATTGTGCCGACGGAATTGTTAGAAGATGCATACCCGATGAGGAAATCATGTCCGTCTTAAACCATTGTCACAACCTTCCTTGTGGTGGTCATCATGGACCGGACCGAACAGCGGCAAAAGTCCTCCAATGTGGTCTTTTCTGGCCAACATTATTCAAAGATGCAAGGAGTTATGTGAAAGCGTGTGACCGATGTCAAAGAACCGGAAATCTTAGCCGGAGGAATGAAATGCCTCAAAATATGATCCTTGTGGTTGAACTCTTTGATGTGTGGGGATTGGATTTCATGGGACCTTTCCCTAACTCGTATGGGAAAAGCTATATCCTTGTGGCCGTGGACTACGTCTCAAAGTGGGTGGAGGCAATAGCTCTACCCGACAACACTAGCAAAAGTGTGGGGGAGTTCGTAAAGAAAAACATTTTCTCACGGTTTGGTGTGTCCCGTACCATCATAAGTGACAATGGCACACATTTCAAAAATGCCCATTTTTCTGGCTTGCTAAAGAAATATGGGTGCAATTTCCGAACCGGAGCAGCCTATCATCCACAAACCAATGGGCAAGTTGAAGTGTCCAACCGAGAGATTAAATCAATTCTAGAAAAAACAGTCGCCACTTCTAGAAAAGATTGGGCGTTAAAGTTAGATGATGCGCTATGGGCATATCGGACGGCTTACAAAACACCGTTGGGCATGTCACCATACCGACTTGTCTATGGAAAATCATGTCATCTTCCCGTGGAACTTGAGCACAAAGCACAGTGGGCACTCTCCAAGCTAAACCTTGATCCTACACTCTCAAAGAAAAGAAGGATGTTCCAAATGGCGGAACTTGAAGAAATCCGAAGGGATGCATATGAGAATTCCCGCATCTACAAGGAAAGAGCAAAAGCTTGGCATGATAAAAACATCAACCGGAGGGACTTCTACGTCGGCCAAAAGGTACTACTCTTCAACTCTAGACTTCGCCTTTTTCCCAGAAAGCTAAAATCCCGATGGTCGGGACCGTTCACAATCACCGAGGTCCGACCATACGGGTCAATGATGATTCAAAAGGGTGACCAAACACCATTTCTTGTAAATGGTCACCGACTCAAGCCATACATGGAGTATCATATCACCTCGGCAACCACCGCTTGCCCATTGGAGGAGTAAAAAGGTACGTTGCGTCCAGCCTACGACGTTAAACTGAGCGCTAATTGGGAGGCAACCCAACAAAAATAATTTCAATTATAAATAAATGTGATCAGTTTTACAAAATATTCATATTCTACTTATAATTGAACAAAACTCAATTATAAATAAATATGTTCATTTACAAAAATAACATTCATATTTATTTATAATTGAAACAAAAAAAAAAATACATGTGCAAACCGGCGCCGGTCCACTGACTACCCGGCGCCGGGTACTCTAAAAATCAAAGCAGGGCGCGAGGCAGTAGCTTACCCGGCGCCGGGTAGGCCTGATGGCCGGCGCCGGGTACTATTAAAATCAAAGCAGGGGCGAGGCAGTAGCTTACCCGGCGCCGGGTAGGCCTGATGGCCGGCGCCGGGTCTGTCGTTTATATCTCCGCCCCGCTGATGCCTTACGCAAAACAAAAAAAAAAGAGACCCCTTCGTTCGAGCTTCGCAACCGACGACACACAACCCCCAAACCTCCCATTGTTTCGAGTTCTTAGTGAAGATAGTCCAATTCCATCACTCCCAAGGCTCCACAACATCATCCACAAGCTTCTTCTCCATCAATTCAAGGTAAAAAGGCAAAAAACCCCAATTTTTCTTAACTTTCGAAATTCCTTCTTCTTTTTTGATTTTTGGCCGAATTATATGTTTATGGTTGTTAAAAGTTGACTACTTGTGCTCATATGATGAATATAAACATGATTCTTGTCAAACATTTGAGATTAAAGTTGAGAATTGGGGGAAGTTCTTGCAAAATTTTAATTTTTAAACCCTAAGTCCGAATTTCTTGCTCAATTTCAAATTATTCCTATCATTGATGACTTGAATGATATTGAAATACTTTGTATTGATATATGAACATTCCAAACATCTTGATTGCATAATTTGAGATTAAACTTGAATTTTTGGGAAATTCATGAAAATTTAGGAAAATATACCTTGAATTGATGAGGTTTATGGTGTTGTGTGTCTATTTTCTCTTCTAACCTTGCAGGATGGCTCCTAAACGAAAACAAAATACTGGTGCTTCATCCTCCTCTTTCACCGGCAACCGTTTCACTTCGGTTGAAAATGAAAAGTGGTACGAGGAGCGGAAAAAGTGGAAAATTGTGGAGGAGAAAACAGTGCACCCGGACATCGACGCTGTTTTCAAGCTCACTGAGATCTTCGCCCGTTTTGGATGGGCAATGATGCTTACATTGACAGGAGCGTATTACCCCCGGTTGGTCCGGGAGTTTTACGCTAATGTCTCGGACAAAGAGACCGGATACGCGGAAATCCAAACAACGGTGAAAGGGAGACGCATCAAAGTTGACCCGGACCTCCTCTCCAACATCCTTGAAGTTAGCAACACGGGCCCCACCTTGGAATACAATCAAACCGGCATTCTAAGTGACAATTCCTACAATGAGGCGGATGCGCGGCGGTTCTTCGGGCTCAAAACAAACCTACAGACCAAGTATCTATGTCACATTCACGCTCGCCTACTCGTCTATCTTATTGGCTTCAACATTGTCCCCCATGCTAGTGACCGCCACTTGGTTAGGAGGATTGATCTATACCTTCTTCAAAAGATGCTAGTTGGCCTAGGAGACATAGAAGGGATACCACTACCACGACTCCTCCTAAAAAATATGAAAAATGTGGTGATCTCCAAACAAGGTTCAAAAAACTTTTGTCACCCGCTTTTACTCACCAAGATTTTCAGGCACTTTCAGGTTGACCTTGATGGAGAGGAAGTTGCTTATACCAATGAATCTAATGTCTTGGACAAAGAAACAATGATTGCCCTCAAGCATAAACTGTCCAACTCTGGAAAATGGTATTTTGCCGACGGAATAGGCTTGCACAGAGACGATGATGAAGTAAACGAGGAGGCCATGGAAGATGCTCACGATGATGAAGCCGCACCCGAACCACCACAGCCACCACACACCACCGATCCCGCGATGGCATACTTGATGCATTCCATGGCTCGAATGCACACGCGGATGGACGAGCAAGAAGCACGCCACCAAAGGTTTGAGGAGCGTTTCGACACATTCACCAACTACTACTACTCCCAACATGGGTACCCCCCTCCCGATCCACACCAGTGACTCCCCTTTGCTCCTATTTCATTTGTCTCATGACATTACTTTCCTCTAAACACACCTTTATTGTGGATGTTATGAAAGTACTTGTTTATCATGCATGATACATTGAGACAATGTATTATAAGTGTGGGGGGGTGCATCTCGTGGGTAGTTAAACAAATTTTGTGTGCAAAAATAATTTTTTTTTAGGAAGGTAAAATTGTCATATTTCTCTTTTTAACGGGTATTTGGTAGAGAAAGTTTTTTTTTTAATTACTTACAAAAACCTATCATTTTTTTAGACCACTCTTTACTCTTGAAAACTACTCCAAAAATAAAAAATAAAAAAAATAAATAAACCTTGTGACTAGAAAGCATCTCCTTCCTTCATTTCCAAAAATGGTCAAATACTACATTCAAGCACCATTTTGGAACACAAAACCCACTCTCACACCTCATCAAATAAATGGGCATCATCAAATGACTTTCAGTAAACCCTAGTTGAAGACCTTTTCAAATGAGTTAAAAAAAAAAAAAAAAAAAACTCATGGTCTCATCTAGGAAGTTCAATTGATTCACACAACTTAAAAGTCAAAAACACCAAAAAGCCATCCCACCCACCCAAAAAAAAAAAAAAATCATAGTCACAAATCATTCCCTTATTTTCAAGAGTATTAGTAGTTTTCTAAATCTAAATGATACTTTTTGTGTTTAATTGAAAAAAAAAATGGTTTTTGGACCGAGAATGATAAAAGAGTTTATATGTCATTTCTACCTCTCTTAAAAAATTGATTTATTTTGTATATATCTTTGTTGAAACTAACCCAAAGCATACAAGGTGACAAGGTTGCTCGAGGACTAGCAATGCTCAAGTGTGGGGGAATTTGATAAGTACATAATTATCTATATTTTATATAGGTAATTATGATTATTTGTACAAATATTCAATGATAAAAACAGATAAAAATCCCAAATTGAGCGAAACCGCACTGAAGCGTCAAAAATGAAGAAACGGGAGTCAATGGGAAAAAAGGGACCAAGAACCGGCACCTCGGGGTCAACAACGGGCGTCAAATGGAGCGGAAAGTGAAGAAAATACAAAAAAAAAGGGAAAAGGGGCAAATAAGCCCTCGAACTAATAAAAAAAGTGCATATAAGCCCTTTTGTAGGAGGTTCTGTCCGATCATCGTCATTTGGGGAGGTTATCGGTGGAATTTTTTGATGAATTTTTTTTAGCATCTTCTTCATTAAGTCTAGTTTAGCCATACCAAATTTCAGCTAAAAATTCAACCGGGAAGGCACTCAAATGATTTTCGGAACTACACTGTGTTGTTTAACTGCACAGTTATCTTCAAAAATTCATTTGACTGTCTTCCCGATTGATTTTTTAGCTGAAATTCGGTATGACTAAACTAGACTTAATGAATAAGATGCTCAAAAAATTTCATCAAAAAATTCCTCCTGGATCCTCCCCAAATGACGATAGACAGACGAAACCTCCTAGAAAAGGGCTTATTTGCACTTTTTTGATTAGTTCGAGGGCTTATTTGCCCCTTATCCCAAAAAAAAAAGAGCTACCCGGCGCCGGCCCACCCTATACCCGGCGTCGGCCCGTCGGATTTCCGCACCAGCCAATCCAGTAGCTTACCCGGCGCCGGGTAGGCCTGATACCCGGTGCCGGGTAGGTCCGATTCTGCAAATACAAAGGAACGTGCATCCGATTCTTGATGGAAAAAAACCACCTTCCTTATGATCTGAGAAAATATTTCTCCCATGCCTAATTGTTGGGCTTGAATAGACTAAAAGATGCCAATCTTTAGCCTATATAAAGCCCTCAATTCATCAAACAAAGAAATCATTCCATCTTTGGAGCTAAAAATTCTGTTTTTATATTTTATTTTTGCATTCTCTTGAAGTGTTGGAGAAGAAGCCATTTCTCTCCTCTACAATTGGTTCTAGGTATTATTTCTTGTATGTTATTGTATTCCATTTATCTTAGTTACACTTTTGTAATTAATATGAGCATTAGAGGCTAAGTTCTTAGCTAAGGCTAGGGATGAACTTCTATGCCCACTAGGTGTTTGATAAAAGTTCTAAACCAATAAATTGTGATTTATCCTTTACATTTTGATTGTTTATGACTATGGTGTACAACATAGAAGTATGTTAAATTTAGTTTATGCTTGCAATTAACGTTGAGGTCTAAACTATGAACATTAAAGGATAAACATATATATTACCGAGAATAGAAATATATCCGGTATTATATCATACGGGTGTGATGTCTTGATATTCAACGGGGTTTTCGGTAGATGAATGTAAGCCGTAACGGGACTTACACGTAACGAAAACCACGCTCTCGCTGCCTTAACCGGAGTTGAGAATATATTAGCGACATCGTATTCATAATTATTGGTAAAGAACTAATATTCAACCCTATAAAAGCATTTAAGTGATTCCCGAAGCCTTAGTTGTTGTTATCAATCACTTTAATCAAATTAATTCAAGTTATATCTCTGAAAATTAAAAAGAAGAACCAAGTTGTTGTTTTCACAACAACACACAACTCAAAATCCCTGCACTTTACTCATTTACTTATTCAAAGTCATCTACTCGCGGACTAAATTAAACAACGTTTCCCTGTGGATTCGACCCGGTATTTTACCGGAATTTATTACTATATCGGCACTTGTACACTTGCAAGTTCAGCCCGGTCAATTGTCATCCCTAATTCTATGAAACGACATACTTGAGTACTGAATAGTGTACCAGAAGAATCTGAAACTCTAGCACAAGAGCCATCAAGCTCAAACACAAAGTAGAAAGCTGAGGAGTCAAGATCACATGGTGCTAAACTCACTCGTTGAACACTTCTACTTGAATCCACATGTGTCTTTCACTCCAAACTCATAACCCATACCAACAAGACGCTTACCTCTACCGAGTTCATTGATCCTAATCACCCAAACATTACTCCACTTCCTCTTCCTCATGAAAGAAGATGGACAAAAGCACATCATCCTGAATTGATAATAAGTAATCCGACTCGTGAAGTAAGCATGAGGGCGACTTCTATAAATGAATGTCTTTATTCTTGTTTTCTAATCCAAAATGAACCTTCAAAAGTTTCTGAACCGGATTTGCAAGAAAATAGAAACCGAAAACCGAACCAGATATATTCTAGTTTTGATCTGGAACTGAACCAGTTTTACTGGTTCAAAACCGGACCGAAAGACACAGTTTCTAAATTACTAATTTAATGTACTAAAAATACAACTAACACGTTTAATAACAATGGGATATGTCTATATGTGTTACTAATAACAACTAGTAGAATACCCATGTGATGCACGATCAATGAATAATTCAAAAAATGGTCAAGAAATTAATTATATAAAGAGTACTCTTGTCAAAAACAAATAAAGTTTGCCATATCTACAGAATAAGTTATGGTTTGATATTATCACATTTGGAATTGAAATGATAAGCTAACATTTTAAAGTGTTATGGAAAGCATGTACATGGAATTACAGCTTCTATTACACACTAAGGATGTTTTTACTTGGACTGTGATTTGTTGGTTTGGTCTGGTCTAGTAAACGTTTGGTCTCTATGTATTTTAAAACTACATAAGTCAAATATGGTTTGGTCTGATCTATTTAAGTCTGGTATGGTTTCGTCTGTTTAAGACTGGTCTGATCTGTTTAAGTTTGGTATGGTATGGGACTGAAAATAGTCCAAGTAGAAGCATATAAACTTCCTTAAAATTCTTCTTTATAATAAAATATTTTGCTAATAACTCACCCACACGATGAACAAATTATTTTGCCAAAGATTTTTTCCATTTTCAAAAGTGTGTGTGTGGGTGGGGGGTGGGGGGGGTTCTTACGAGAACTCCTCTTAATATGAGAACCCATTTTAAAATAAAAACTTCTAGTCTCCATCATTCATTATTATAATCAATGACTAATAATGACAAGATGACATTTTTGTAAAAGTCTAGGATTAGTTGCAAAAAGCTCTCACTTGAACTTGAGGTAATTATGAATATGATCTCATGTGAATCAACCAATGATTGCAATAAATGAAATGTTAAAAATAAAAATTCTCATTTTAGGAGGGGTTCTCACTAAAACTCCCCTATGTGTGTGTGTGTCAGTGTGTGTGTGTGTAGGGGAACTATATATGTCTTTTCTAGATAGGAAACGCCGCCTGGACCACGGCGTTTCGGCCTTTTCCCGATTTGTTTTTTATGAAATTGTTCTAGAATGTTCTTCATCAAGTCTACAAAAAATATCAGTTGAAATTTCAATCGGGGAGATCGTAAAATGATTTTGGAAGATGACTTTGTTTTATATGTATATTTTGGACGCAGTTATCTTCCAAAAATCATTTGATGACCTTCCCGATTGTATTTTTAGCTGAATATTTTTTTGGGATAAACTAAACTTAATGAAGAACATGTCATAACAATTTCATAAGATAATCCACCCGGAAGGGCCCCAAACGCCGCCGTCCGGACGGCGGTTCCGGTCAGGAAGGCCTGATAGGAAGATCTCTCTCTCTCTCTCTCTCTCTCTCTCTCTCTCTCTCTCTCTCTCTATATATATATATATATATATATATATATATATATATATATATATAGAGTGCTCTTCATGTCAGGCCGGTCTGACGGGCTGCCCCGTCCGGCCGAGCCCGTTTGGGCACCTTCCCGGTGGAAGTTTTTGATGAAATTTTTTGAACATGTTCCTCGTCAAGTCTAGTTTGTCCATACCAAATTTCAGCTCAAAATTCGATCGGGAATGTCGTCAAATGATTTTTGCAAGTTAACTGGTCCGGAAAATACATATTCCCGACCAGTTAACTTGCAAAAATCATTTGACAACCTTACCGATCGAATTTTGAGCTGAAATTTGGTATGGATAAACTAGACTTGATGAGGAACATGCTCAAAAAATTTCATCAAAAAATTCCACCGGGAAGGTGCCCAAACGGGCTCGGCCGGACGGGGCAGCCCGTCAGGCCGGCCTGACATGAACATTC